GGGATACATTTTTTACCTTGTTAATTTTTTTATTAATAAAGCAACCATCTTATGATTATTAAATCTCATTTTCATTGCAATTTTCATTATTTTTTAGAATGCACAAGCATTTCTTTTAAAAACTCTTGGTACATATTTTCGGAGTCTGGAAAAAGATGGGAAGAGAACAGAGACTTCTGTCGGTGCAAAGGAGGAGACTTGGTATCGATTGAAACTGAACAAGAATGGAAATTTATTAATAAGGAGATTCAAAAGCGCAGTACTACCGACGGTAATCATGAATGGGACATTGGTTTAATAAAAAAGGACGCAAATTGGACTTGGGTGAGTGGAATACCGTTGACTATATGCAAATGGAGTAAAGGGGCACCAAGTGGTGACGGAGATGTTGGTCAAATATACAAGAAGTCTCCTTATGGCAAACAGGGCCTTTTTAATGATCTCGCTGGCAATCGACCCGAAGCTTTTATTTGTGAAATTTCCAAAGGTAAGACAGAGTTAGTGTATCTCTTAGTTATAATGTGCGCTATGATTTTTTCCAATTTAGCGGACCACATTTCCCTTTCTGGCCCACTAAGCTAGATTGATTGGAACCCAGATTCAAATAAATATCTGATTAGTTTTCTCGGTCCTTGAGGTAATCATTTATAAGTACGCAGCAGAAACTGTTTTTTTTTTCACTCGGATTTATGGCCGCAGTTCGTAACTTACAGTACGGCACTTGAACTGAAAAGTGATAATAAAAACATTATTGTTAACAGAAATCATCGTGACTGCAGAGATTATGAAGCTTCCGGATCGAGTTTACACGTATAGTTGCATGAATGAAGATACAATTGAGAAATTGTTAACCAACGTCGTAAGTAACATAGCAACATTAGGCAGAGGAAAGGAGACACATGGATACGTGACAGTTTCTGTAACGACATGCGCTACTACTATAACGAGTAACACAGCTATGGAAGCTTGCAATTGTCGGTTATTTTCATGCTTTTATTATTTTATTTTTTGTTTCGATTTAACAAAACGATGGTTAATACCAATCGCAAAGAATCGTCACTCCAGCTATTGTGAAGTGCTATATCTTTACAGAATTAAAGGGCTTGTGATTCAAATTCGCAACAATACATGCCAATTTATTACTTTACAAAACAAAAATATGAGCCTTTTAGATCCACTCCATCAGTGCATAGTTTTTATTGATATATCTATTTTTTTAATCGCTTCATTTGAACCGGGCAGTTAAGAAGTGTCACTATGTTGAGAGAACATAATGAATCGACCATCATGGACCTAATAAATAAATAACCAAATAAAAGACCCTCACTGCAGTGTTACAATATATTTGGTGTTTTACTTACCAAAATATTCGTTATTACACTATCCGTTGCGTACGATCCCATGAAGAACACCTAGATTCTGCAATGAACCTACCTTGCCATTATTATTATAGTTCCTTTAAGTCTTGCTCTTTTTTCCTATGGTGCCGAGTTCAATCCATGAGGGCAGTCATGAGTCTGCTGGATTACTTGATGGGTAGAGTCCTCCTCAGTATATGGGCAGTTCCAAGAAGAACGGTCCTCTGTAGCTCTGCTATTCTGATATTTCCTCAGATCTTGCCAAAATAGGTTTCGATTCCCTTCTTAACAAGCCCAAGAGCTCCAATGACCACTGGGATGGTTGTTGTTTTCATTCCCCATGTTTTCTCGAATTCGATTTCAAGATCTTTGTATTTGGAGAGTTTTTCCATTGTTTTCATGGAGGTGTTCCTTTCTGTGGTGATAGAGGTGTCGATTACTAGTGCAGCGCTCTAACAATTGAGCTAACAAGCTAACTGGGAGCAGGCCGTTAAGTTGATTCGTAATAAACCCGTGATGATAAAATCAGGTCAGCGGTTCGAATCCCGTACAGGCCTGAGTTTTTTCAGGTCTGATGGTGTTTTACTTACCAAAATATTCGTTATTACACTATCCATTGCGTACGATCCCATTAAGAACACCTAGATTCTGCAATGAACCTACCTTGCCATTATTATTATTATAGTTCCTTTAAGTCTTGCTCTTTTTTCCTATGGTGCCGAGTTCAATCCATGAGGGCAGTCATGAGTCTGCTGGATTACTTGATGGATAGAGTCCTCCTCAGTATATGGACAGTTCCAAGAAGAACGGTCCTCTGTAGCTCTGCTATTCTGATATTTCCTCGGATCTTGCCAATATAGGTTTCGATTCCCTTCTTAACAAGCCCAAGAGCTCCAATGACCACTGGGATGGTTGTTGTTTTCATTCCCCATGTTTCCTCGATTTCAATTTCAAGATCTTTGTATTTGGAGAGTTTTTCCACTGTTTTCATGGACGTGTTCCTGTCTGTGGTGATAGACATGTCGATTATTATTATTATTACTATTATTATTATTATTATTATTATTACTGTTACTGTTATTACTATTATTGTTATCATAATTACTATCATTAGTATTTTAGGCGAAGAAGCTAGGTGCTGATTTACCACAATGCATTATTAATCAATTATTGAAAAATGCTGTTGTTTAGGACAAATCATCTTGTTTTCTTCTTTGAATTACTTCGTTTATTTTCTCTCTCATTTGTAATAGTTTTTGCAACTTTTCCAGGCTACTGCCGAAATTACTCTGGAATACCTTGTACACTCGAATATGGCAATAAGAGTTGGGTGCAGAATTGCAACTTTACCGATTATACTTGCCAACTGAAGTGTATAATAAGTTGTGAGGGAGTGCTAAATAGGATGCTTCCCAGGTTTTGGGAGGAAAAACAGAGTCAGACGTACAGCCCATTGGCAGCTCGCTGTAAAGAGATCAGACGCGAAAAAAGTAGCCTTTATCAGATATGCAACACTACAAAGTGTAATATGACCAGCGGCGAAAAGACATTTGCTAAAAGACAATCCTACACTTGCAATCGTACGATTTGTGGACGTCAATGCATTGGGATAAGGTGCACACAAAAATGCCGAGAAAGAAAAACTGGTAAGTACCATAACATATTCAATACTTTTCAATACTTGGGCAAGTTATAACACAGTCAGCTAAATATTATTAGTATAACTGTATAGCTGGTAATTAATCCGAAATTGTCAGTATAGCTATTATTCCTTATTTTCTTAAAAACTGTCCAATTATTTGAGATGTGCTTCAAACGCTGGTGAAGTGAGATTTAGGCGCATTTCCAATGGCAAAGGTTGCGCTGGGTAAAGCAAGCCAGTAAATAGGAATTCCGCAGGTGCGTCATTGTCCAGCAATTAATAAAGTAGTGTCTTAAAAAAATGGCGCTGTCCTATTATTTTTTGTCAGATACTCACTGTTTGGCAAGTCTGTGCATATTCGCTATATTCTAGCGTCTTTCAGCATGTGTTATATTAGGCTGATGATGTCTAATCTGACGACGAGTTTTCATGGACTCAATCAGGCAAGCGACCAGATCGTTCGCCCTCCAACTCCGTATTGATGGGTCATATGTTAAACCGTCATGTTCAGAAAGAACCTAAAATATGAACAAACAGTATCAAGATATATTGAGTAACTATAAAATACGGAAACAATGATACTAATTTAAAGGCATGAATAAGATTTGTATTCGTGCAGTCCTAAAAGATGCTGTAAAATATGTACTAATAGGTTCGTTTACACTTTTATATCTGTTCTTTGTTTTTGTGAGTGTTTTTTTTTTTTGCTCCTTTGTAGCTGTTTTATTTTTTTGTTTCTTTCGTTTCTTATCCAGTTGTTTTATTGTTGATTTTATTGTTTTTTAATTTGTTCCCTATTTATCAAAATGAGTGGCATCATCATCAACTTCACCATCGCCATCGTTGCCGCCAACGCTATCATCGTTGCCGCCAACGCCATCATCGTTGCCGCCAACGCCATCATCGTTGCCGCCAACATCATCATCATCGTCGCCGCCAACATCATCATTGTCGTCGCAAAAATTACAGAAGCTGGTTTGTACTCTACTTAACAATTGCTCTTGTACAGCTCATTATCAGGTCGATAATCATTGCTTTTATTTCCGTTATCTTAGACAAGTGAATACCTTATCAAACTAAACAGGATAAATATCAGCAATAGCAGCTCTTTGCAGGTATTTCATTTCAGTAATGACTTTATATTAGCGCGCAAGATAAACCGCGCGTATACAGAGCATATTGAAAACGTTTTGTGTTTGATAAAGCAGTAATTATCATCGACTGAGTTTTGTTATTAAGGGAACTTGTTACGTCAACGTTTTAAGGACATTGAAAATTGCCAAATTGATAGCGCAGTATGATTTTAGTCATTGGATAATAATAATAATAATAATAATAAAAAATGGTAATGATTGTCATCATCATCATTATTATGATGCAATAAGTAAATAGCTGATTATCAACGAGAAATTTTCCGACCTGAAAACCAGTTGGATTACTTTCTAGTTTTTATTTTGTTTTTGACATTTTTTGCTGTTAATTTCTTTATACATCATTACAGGAAGCTGTTAGGGTTTTTGAACTCTTCATCACCGGTATTGAAAACATTACCAAATCTGTTAAGAGCTTTTCTGGTACAGAAGAGACTAAGACACTCAAAAGATCCACTTTTCGGGTGGCAGTCACGTTTGAGAAATTTGCAGTAAATTATAGCAAGCTCCACACCATTGGAAGAAAGTCCGCCGTGGTTATCGACAGCCAAAGGATGGGTGGGTCTGAATACTGTAATCATGTCTTCAATCATCCATTACTTGTTTATCTACCGAATAGGTGACTAACTGATCTATATATCTGGCTTGATGTTGTAATGAACCATTCCACTGACTCAGGATTATTGCCGGATCAAATAGATAAATCTGTTTCTTGCTTTAACTTTTTGCGTTTTACTACTAATGAAGGAAAAGGATGATTATTTCCATCGACTGGAATCCCCAAACATACTAAAACCGCTTGCTATCAATGTCTTTATGATCTTCGATGAGCGGATTGTACTTGTAAGGAGGTGAAGCAAAGAAAAGCTTTTACATTATTATATTACATTGAGGGTATAACATGCTTCCAGTCCAGCGCGAAACACATTCCTAAAACCATGTTGTTGCTCCGTGTTTTCTCTGTCAGGACTGAGCGTTCAAAAAGTCTATCGTCAAAAGCAAAGTGACTTCTACTTTGGAGAACAAGAATGGAAAGCAAGCATCAAGGTCCCTTCTGCCAATTTTGCGAACAACGGTTTGTATTCACAGCAGTGGCAGTTCTAATGTGTAAATGCAATGCCCTTCTTTTGTTCCA